TTTCTTAATCTTGAGTACATAATCTATTCAAAATATTACCAATATACACAAAAAAAAACTTCCACAGTTCTTCCAAAGTAAGCATGCTACTTATTCATTTAAAACAAATCTCAAATTACGCTTTTCATTATTTAAACCTATTTGTATTAATATCTATATCCATCTTACTTTCATTTTAATGCATTCTGTTTTTTATATATATTTCTTCCTATTATTATCTTTCCATACCTCTTATTTCCATATTTCTTTTATATATTTTTCTATTGGAGCCATAAGATTGCTGTTGTTATTGTCATTATTATTGTGATTATATTATTAATCTATTGACTTGTTCCAGTCTCAGCATCTCCATTAGAATTCTCCTCCTCCTCTTTCCACCCATGGACATAAGATTATTATTATTGTTAATATTATTATTGTCATTATTATTGTGATTATCATTATTAATCTATTGACTTGTTTCAGTCTCAACATCTCCATTAGAATTCTCCTCTTTCCACCAATGGATATAAGATTATTATTATTATTGTCATTATCATTATTAATCTATTGACTTGTTTCAGTCTCAACATCTCCAGTAGAATTCTCCTCCTCTTTCCACCCATGGATATAAGATTATTATTATTGTTGTTGTCATTATCATTATTCATCTATTGACTTGTTTCAGTCTCAGCATCTCCATTAGAATTCTCCTCCTCCTTTTTCCTCTCTTGATCATAGGTGATGATGATGAAGATGATTAATTATTGGTCCATTAGAACTTTCCTCCCTTGGCCATAGGTGGTGGTGGTGGTGGTGGTGGTTATTATAGTTGTTCTTGTTGTCACTGCTTCTCCATTAGCACTCTCCGCCTCCTCCTCCTCCTCCTCTTTCCTCTCTTGGCCATAGGTGGTGGTGGTGATGATGATGACGATGATGATGATTTTAGTTGCAGCTTCTCCATTAGAACTTTCCTCCTTGGTGGTGGTGGTCATTGTCCTTGTCCTTGTGGTGGTGGTCATTGTCCTTGTCCTTGTCACTGTATCTCTATTAGAACTCTCTTCCACCTCTTCTTTCCTCCCTTGGACATTTGTTGTTGT